TATTTAGTGATAAAAAGGAACGAAGTGAAAAACAAGTGTCACATGATCTCACTCGTATGTGGACTCTAATGAACAAAATAGATCCAGAGACTTAGAAGCATGGAACAGACTGATGAATTTCAAAGGGAAGGGAAGGGGTGGGTGGAGAGAGACTAACTGGGAAACATATAAACATATATGCATAGCCCATGGACACAGACATGGTGAAGGCCTGGGAGGGGTGGGTACGGGGTAGAGAGGCCATTGGGGAAAAAAAGGGAGCATCTGTAATGCTTTCAATAATAAAGATAAATTTAAGAAAAAGGACCGAAGTACTGATACATCGCAACATGAATGAACCTTGAAAACTTGATGCTACAGGAAAGAGGCCACTTAAAAAAGGCTGCTTATTGTGTGATTCCATTTACATAAAATATCCATAATAGGCAAACGCCTCAGGATGGAACATAGACTACTGGGTGCCCAGGATTGGGTCAGAGTGGGGAGCTTGAGGATAAATGGGTAGTGAGTGATAATAGGTACTGGGTTTCAAGTTGGGGTGATGAAAAGGTTCCAGAATTGATTGTAATGATGGTTGCGCAACTTTGAATATATCAAATATCACTGAATTATAGCCTTTATGTGGGTGAATAATATAGTATTTAATTATATCTCAATAAAGCTGTGACAACATATATGCCTGGAGAGGAGTATATACTAAAACATTAACAGTGATTTTATTAATTACTTTTTCATAGTTCCTTTCAAAGTTTCTTAGGTTGTGTTTTTTTTTTTGCTCAAAAGTGTCACAAATTGTTTTTAAAAACTGTATTTCAAAAAAGATGGCTTAAATTCTTTCTGAAAGAACGCAGAGTACAAATATGAAAATGGTACTGTAAAGGAACATGTTTTTGAGTTGCTGAGGAGCAAGAATTTCTTCTCTCACCTGGACATGCTCTCCCTGGCTGCAGATGCTCAGGCAGCGGGGGCCTGGTTCGCTTGTTGACATGGAATGTTGAGGGCTCTGGACTGACAGGGCTCACGTAAATATTTCTATAGATAAACGCCTCAGTGTTTTTCGCAGTCCATGCTTATTCTTATCAGTATTCTCACTTTTAGGGGATAAAACCCCCGCGTAATTGGGATACTGAAACAGAAGGTCAAGGTGTTGTAGTAGCTTCTGAATTAATAGTGGAGGATAGTTTCCCACATTTGTTCCCTTCATCACTTTGAATCTCTGGCAGTTGTGACTGGGACATGCACACTAGGCTAAAACATTAAAGTGACGCGTGGATGTGAAGTCGTTATAAGTGAAACACAAGAGGAAAGTGTAGACTGGGTCTGACAGGTGGAGGGATGGAAGGAAGAAAGGGGAAAAGCACTCATTGGTCTGATCCAGTTTGAAGTTGTATCAAAATAGTGCTAGTATTGAAAGTGTTTGAAGGAATAACTCAAAAAACAAGCAACCTTCTTTTCCCTGGCTCACCCCAGGTTACCTAACGATCTACTACACCTCATTGGCTGCTTTGGGCCACCAGATCCAGGTGGAGGAGGGAAGCACTTATTCAGTATCTGTAGTGTGCCCTGCAATCTGCTTGGCCCTGGGGATGCGGGTTTTGGGCCCAAATCAGTTTCAGGGATTCATGGTCTATTGGGAGAAAAGGCCTCAGTAAGAGACTATGAACCACCCTAAGGGTTCCCGTGGGCATTTATGGGGCCAGTAGAGCAAGCTGAGAGCAAGGCCCTTGTTTCCAGTTTCGCTTTGATGCTGCCTTGCAAACCTAATCCAGTTGTGACCTTGACCATGGACAGTTGAACCTGAGGGTAGCGATGAAACAACAGTAGTTGTCTGGCTGGCTCTGATCATGATTCTTCTTGCCTCCTTCCTAGGGGAGGAGTCAGATGGCACAGCAAATGGTAGTTAAAGGAGAATACCGTGCATTCTAAATTTTCAATGTAAGCTTTTTCTTTGCTTAAGTCTACCCTGGCTGGCCTCATTTTTCAAAAGGAGACAGGCTTGTGCATGAAGTTCAGATCTATTAGGCTAATCTGTTTCTTAAGACACTGATATAAATCTTTCTGCTACTGAACCCTGTTTTGAAAACCCTGTTTGCTGGTGCAGTGTCACTGGTAAACACGATTATTAGAGATCATTTCTTGTCCCATTGCAGTTTGGCAATAAAAAGGTATGTTTATGAAGTTGATAAGTCTGATTTACGAGTAGAGGGGGTAATTCTGACTTCTGGGTGGGCCTGGAAAGCAAGATTAATAGGTCTTTAAAACAGAATAGCTTGGAGTTACTGATATCATTATCTGCTGAAGGTTGCTATAGCAATGAGTGGTTTGATTGCACAGTGCAGTTGGTGGTACAGTGGGTGAGTGTAAAAGGATCTGAGTAATTTAGCAGAAACTCTCCTGGAGCAATTTAATTAAACCCCAGTAGAATGAGTGCCAAGTTCTTTGAAAGCGCTAAGATGCAGTTCTGTACAGACCTAGATTAATTAATGGTACATTATTATCCTGGATTTACACTGTCACAAATACCTTAATTATTTTAGGATAAAGGTTTTACAACTTTGCAACTTATCTTTTAAATGATGGAATACAAATTTTACAAAGACTTGTCTATTTTAATATAGTTTTTTAAAAAATTAAACAAAATTACATTAGACTACAAGGAAAAAAGTGTAGGCTGGCTATGAAAAAACCTAGTTTTCTGAGGAGCTGGGGTGTGAACAGTCTACCAGGGTGAACACATTCTTTTTTTGAATGCTGAACTACCAGATGACATAGCCTTCTTCATTAGCAATCTTGAATAAAATGTGCACTGTTCTTCTGAATCACTAGTGTTGGTATAGAATTCTTTAGAAGTGTAGAATCATCATAATTTAAGAGCATATGGTCTGAAATGGCTTTAAAGGAAGTCTGTCAAGGACAAAATAAAAACGTGTGTGACTCTTGATATCTGTGCAGACATGTCTGTTGAAATGTTGGTTCTTGTTACCCTCCCCTTCATTTTTAATGCATTGGTGATATCTTTCCCATTTGCCTAATTTTTAGGGTTTGTGTATACATGTCTCAAAAACAAACAAACAAACAAACAAACAAACCCAACTATGTTACTGTAATGTGGTAAACAACATAGTGGGTGCTTCACAACAGCTTTCTGCATCTGTCCAGTGGGATGAAACGCTTTGGACATAGGCCCTTACACAGCAGGCTTTTGAAGTGTGAAGTTGGCCCTGTTGACACACATATTGCTGTCCATGTTGCCTTGTTGATGTTACTCTGCTGCCACCTAGAGGCTTGTATGGAGTGTGCATTTAAAGGTAGGCAGGATGCCTGGCAAACAAAAGCTGCCTGGGCTGTGTGTCAACTGCTGCTTTGTCCCTACTGAAGTCAGATGGCATGACCACAAAACATTGAGGCTCTTGCTTTTTCATTTTTCCTCGTAGAGCTGATGTGTACTATGCATTAAAGAACAGTACACTGTTGTGGAGTGTTAATATCTTACAACTTGATTGACAAAAAGCAAATTCAAAGTTTTTGTGATGTAGATGGTTAAAAACCCCTCATGCCAGTGAGAAAGTTGTCTGCTCTGCTTCATCCTTGCTTCGAGGTGTAAACGAATCCCTTATATTTTCTAAGCTAGAGGTGTCGAACTCAATCAGAGAAGGGGCCAAAATCTAAAATCCAGTCTAAATCGCGGGCCGAATGGTTTACTGAACAGTCATAAACTGTCATTGTGATGGAAACGCAGCGGAGTGCAGTGATGACAGCGCGGTGCGGGCCACATTGCAAGGCCTGGCGGGACGGATTTGGCCTGCGGGACTTGTGTTTGACACATGTGTTCTAAGCATGGAAGAGAACTCACAACATGTTGCCAGGCAGTGAGAAGAGCTCGAAAAAGCCCACTTGGAGGTCTGAGGCCCGCGGTGACTGACATGAATAAGCGTGGTAGAGCCTACTTAATGGGCCTGCTGGGAAAAGCAGTGGCGTTTTTCCAGAATGAGCTCCAAGCAGGGCCATGGGGGCAGGGGAGCTGAGGGGCCCACAATGTTGTATATTAATACAAATTCAGAGCAAAGATTCTTAGCCATCTGCCCTTTTATTTCCCCTGGGCCCAAACCGGCTGTCGGTGATTATTGAGCAACAGTGGCCCTTGTTTACTGGCAACTGAGTTTGGGGAGAGAACCAATCAGTCAAGGCACAGAGAAAAATACCCCCTAAGTGAACGTTCCCGAGCACCCTAGAACATCCTGACCACCGATATTTCCAGGAAAGCCTTTATTCAGAGCGGGGACACCGGCATGCCCGAGGCTTGTCAGTGCCGAGCCTGCCGCCTTCCGAGGCTGAGCCTAAGGGCTGTGCTGGCGGTCTCCACGTCCCCCGTGCCCCAGGGAAGGCCAGACCGCATCTAGAATGGACGGTGCTCTTTTGAAACATGAAATCTCTGGTCTTTGAGGAAGTAGATGTACGGGACTTCCTCAGGTGGGTACAAGTCTTGGCGTTAGAATCTGTGCTATTTTGAAGAGCCTTCCGTTAATGAGCAGTCTTCCTCCTGGATCAAGGGCATTGATTTCCTTAATGACCTTCAGGATTTCCTGTGAGAGCTCCTGGGCTTGTTTACATCTTGGGCCACACAAATAATCCCAGTAAGGTTATGAGATCCTCTGCTCTGCGGACAGTTGATTTTTAAGAAGCTTAATCTAAAAACCTGGTTTCATGCAGACAGTTCCTGGGCAGTTCATTTATATTTTTTATATAGTTTCTCCTTCCTTCCTTCTTTCCTTCCTTTTCTTTTTTTTCTTTCTTTCTTTCTTTCTTTCTTTCTTTCTTTCTTTCTTTCTTTCTTTCTTTCTTTCTTTCTTCCTTCCTTCCTTCCTTCCTTCCTTCCTTCCTTCCTTCCTTCCTTCCTTTCTTTCCTTTCTTTCTTTCTTTCTTTCTTTCTTTCTTTTTTTTAAAAAAGAAAACTAAAGGCTTTCCTCAGCAGATACTGATGAGAATTATTCCTTTTGCAGAAGTTAAGAATTTGGTGTCCAGTAGATCATCACCTGAACAGGAGGATGGAAAGGTAATGACTCCCTGCCCCTCCCCCCTTTTTTTCTCGGTGCTGCTCCCCAAAGTTGAATTAGAAGTGAAGATCTATTGGTAGTAATTTGTTTACAACCCCCAAGAAAAAAATCCAACATACAATAAACACTCAAGGCTGTGCCCCATGCTACATTCAGAATAACTTGAAATTCAGTTTTCTTTATCGAATTTTCCATCTCTACTGTTTATGACCATACCTCGCTATGTTTCTAGTAGAATATGCAAGATGACATAATACCTTTTCCCAAAACATACTTGTACTTCAGGACCGATAACCAGCTGTGTGCCGGTAGTGCGTCTGCTAGAGTAATCCTGGGAGAGATTCTTGGAGCAAAAAGAACTATGGAGGGCTTGCAGGCAGGTTTCAGCTTGGGACAGGTCTGTCTCGTATTTTTAGCTCTTAAACACTATCAGTTAAGGACAAGACTAGTTTTCTGTTTGGTGTACATGCAACGTGTCTTCACTGGTGTTCTCTAAGGTTGTTTTTCTAGTTTACAAAGACTAAGAAACATTAATATGGCATTAAAAACACACACCTTATTTTATCTCTTCCAGGGCATGAAAAGCCAGGTGGTTCAACTGAATGAGCGTGAAGACCAGGACAGTCCAGATTCGGGTAGGTTCCAAAATATTGCTTCCCCTTGCACTCACAGTCCCAGGTGTATAGAGACAAGAAGGAACTATATTTTAAAAAGAGTGTCTTCCTTCCTGGGAACCTTGTCTGTTTCTTGAAACCCACTCAGATACATTTTCTTTGCAGCATTAGTGGTGCAGTGACCTCAGAGGTTGAGTCTCCATTTATAATGTGAAAGCAAAACAATCAAAACAAAGCAGTGAAGGCTTTTCCTGAGCTGTTTTGTTCTGAGTCAGCTGGGGCTGGGGACTTGTCCTCTGTTACCTTGTTAGGCACAGCCCTAAAGTGACGTGTCTCCCCTCGTGGAGAGTGTCTCGTGGAATTGGGACTGAAAACTTCCTTCCTCCTGGCCCTGGAATCCCCACGCTGACCACTATTTCATTTTGATACCTAGTGTGGTCCCTTGGAGCTGAGCTCATAGGGTCTTACCCCTGGCCTCTTCAAAGGCCCTGGGAGGCCCCTGGGCCAGGTGAAAGTCGTTCTTCCTGTGGGCCTGGAAAGTCTCATCTGCTCACATGCCCACTAGTTCATAATGCCCTGAGGGCTCCTCCGCAAAGCTCTTCCCTAGACATTTTCTAATTTTTCAGGACTAATCCAGGCCCAGCGTCCGCTTTTGAGTTACAGCCTGATGAACCTGCTGGGACATATGTAGGCTTGGCAGAGGCCTCGGCTGGCCACCTGGATGGTCTTTGAAGGCCTCTGTGCGAAGTGGAAAGCACTAGCTTTCCTAGGTGGCGTCCTCAGGCTCAGCACAGCTGAGGCAGTTCACATACCTGGAAAGCACAAGGGCCAGGCAGTTTAGGAGTTGCAGGGATGAGGCGGTGGTGGTGGTGGTGCAATGCTCAGGCTGATGTGAAATCGGGAAAACCAAGACGATGCCCAGGGTGGTCCTGCAGAGCCTAGTGGTCAGGGTGCTCCCTGGAGGCCAATGGGGCGTTATGGGCAGCTACTCGACAAAGCAGTTACAACAGTTGGGAAATCATGAAGAATGAAGCCGGGCAAGGAGGAAGCACCCTCAGGGGTGGTTGGCTGTGCTGCTGGTAGCTTGGCCACGAGCCAGCAGTGGTGTGCTGGATCTCCTTGCCTGTGTAGCTCCTGAAATTGGAACAGACACTTAGACCATCCCCAGCAACCCACACACCTTTAATATTTCTGCTATACAAGGTAAGAGGAATAATTGACTTCTCAAAGGGGGAAGTTGAGAGATGAAAGCCAGCATGTCCGTTGGGATGGCTGCTGTGGCCACTAACCCCGGGAGCGTGGCTCTCGCTCATGCATACAGGACGTCACATCCACCCAGCCAGTGCATCACACTCCCAGGAATGTTAGCTCCAGAGGATGTTTACCAAAGCAAATTGCTGGTGGGGAGGAGTGTTGGCTGGTGAAAGTATGAAATACCAGGGTTATTTTAATTTTAGGTTTTGAAGACTCACTTTGTTCTCAAACGGGCATACTTGCTGGGCAAAGAAGACACGTGTTCAGGACATTGTGGTAGCCTGACCTAATCCGGGTGTTTTGTTAGTAACATCATTGTGTCCGAGGAGGATTGTGGGAAGGATTGGAGAGAGAACCATGTGTGACAGTAGCCTGGTGATGTATGAAAGGGTTGTGAATGATTGTTCCTCGTGCTTACATTTGCTTTTTGTTAACTTAAACTTTTTTTGGATTAAAGAAAGTTGCCTGACTTTATGCAAAGAAAATGATAATAGATTTTTAAAGAACCTTCCGACTCAGAGAAGTGGGGGCAGCCAGCAGTGAGCAATAGTCAGATGCCAAGCTGGCGTCTGCAGCTGAAAACTGCTTTTCCTCAAGGCCATTGTCAGCCTGTTTTGCTGTTTCATACGAGCATGTGTTCTGCTCAGTCTCTAGGGAAGGGCTGATACATGTGGGGCCGAGGTATGTCTTTGCCGGCTTGTACGATTGAAAATGATGTGAGTTTAGTGTGATCTCATAGACTACATCAGCGCTGCTGTGATAGAACTCTGTGACGATGGACATGTTCTGAGTCTGCACTCTTCAGCACGGCCGCCAACAGCCACATCTGTTTCTAGAATGTGTGATGAGTAACTAGTGTGACTGAGGAATTGACTTTTAAACTTTAATTTATGGCTCTGGGGGTTGACTTTGTATTGCTGTTAACTCATCAGAGCATCAGGAATCATATTGGCCATTAGTGTCCACTGAGCATGTTGATCGGAGGGTTAACATCTGGAGTAGATAGCAGTTAGCAAACTCTTCTGAGCTGGTGCCCTCAGCCACCTCATTGAGAAGTGATGGTAGGATTCCATTTATGGTGAGTCAGCAGTGATGGCCCGCTCCCTGTGGATGCTATACGGGCCAGGTGTTTTGCTCAAAAAAGAGAGCGGGAACCTGATTCCATTGCAGTGGAGAGTGGGACGTCCAGTGGTTCTTTCACATTCTTGGCAGGTGGAATGGGAGGAGAGGGCAGAGCATTTGGGGGAAATGGAAAAAGAGAAGTAGGTGAAATGGATTGATACAGAAATTAAGAAGGAAGGAGGAAGGGTCCAGTTAGTCCCTGATAGAAGTGTAGAAGTATGGGGGGCTCAAAATGATTAAACACTAGAGGCTCAATAGTGGGCAGCAGCAAATGTTGTGCCCAGGAGAAAGGAAGTGAACATCTGGCAGGAACAGGTAGACTGCCTGTGGGAACACAGTAAGATGGCCGAGCTTTGGCTGCCCTATTGGATTCCCAAATGCAAACAGATGCATTAGCTGTAAACAGCTTGATTAGCTGCTCTTTGCAAACTCTACTTTTAAAGGGTTGAATCTGAAAAATTAAAACCATGGTTAGAATTCAGATGTCCACGTGCTGAGGACTGTGGAACAAGAGCGCGGGTATCTCAGGTGAATTGCAGAAGCTCCTGGTACACTGACACCCCTGCTCTCTCAGCAAGTGATATTCCAGAGTGTGAGTAGGTTGTGTGTGACAGCCAGATTTGGTGACACGCATATCGAAGCTGATTTTCTTGCAATAATTTATCAGCCATGGCTGCATTGGACTAAAGATTATTTGAAACTTACTTGGCTAAGATTGTATATTGTATGACTGTTGGATGGGGGAAAAAGAAAGGATTCGGGGAAACTGACTTACTCAAACAAGAACTATGTGAGCATGTTGTAACTCTCCTGGTGGGGGGATGATGGAAGGCAGTTAGGGAGAGACTAGGGGAGGTGGCGTTGTTGGGCATCATCTGTTTTGCTTGGGCTGTCCCGTACCTTGAGGCTCTAGGCATGAAGCAGTGCCGTGTCTGCTGTTCCAGGTTTGGCTGGCACACAGTGGGCTTGGCATAAATGCCAGAGAAGATTTTAAATATAACATCTTGCTAAATAGCTTTTGCTGAAAAATTATTGTTTTTTAAAATCATAGTAGAAAAATCAGAAATTTTAGAATGAGTAGAAAAAAAGAAAAACATCCCTATAATGTTCCCACTCCCAAGGAGCTACTCTTAAATGTTGGTATATTTCCTACCAGTATTTTTTCCTAGGCATCTATTGTTGATATAGTTATGATCAAACAGTAGAACTTTGTGTCCTGCTTTATTTATTAAACAGCATATACCATAAGTATGCTCCATTTCAGAAAATAGCTTAAACTGATCCTGGGCAGGTATTTTGTAGAATGTCTCTCAATTGGTATTTTTCTGATATTTTTTCATCATTAAACTGAGGTCTGGGAGGAAGTTCACAGAGGTAAAGCACCATTTTCATTACGTCATATCAGTGGTCTATACTGTCAACATTACTTATCACTGTGAATGATGATCTTGATCATCTGGCACAGGTAGGGTTTGTCAGGTTTCTCCATGGTAAAATTACTCTTTCCCACCACTCTCTCCATACTGAACGCTTTGGAAGGAAGTGATGACGTGCAACTCATATTTCACGAGTAGGAAGTTATCTCTATACTTCCTTGTGGATTAAATATCTACTTAGAATTGTTCTGTATGGAAGATTTGCATTCCCCCCACTTATTCATTTATTCAGTTACTATGTCAGTATGGATTCATGGATATTTACTTTATACTTTGGGTAATAATCTCACCCTAGTACTTTTTCAGAGTGTTCTAGAGTTTGGCCATGGGAACTCTTTCAGTTGGCCTCTGTATCTTATCTACAGATCCCTGTCATTGTGGTCTTTTTGCTTAGGGTGATGGAAGTATTCTCTATGATACTGTGATGGTGGATATACCGCACTGCATTTTTCAAAACCCATAGAACATATGGACACAGAGTAAACTCCAATGTGTGCAAATAAAAAAAAATTCAGGCCGAAACTGGATTGGCTCAGTGGTAGAGCGTTGGTCTGCGGACTGAAAGGTCCCGGGTTCGATTCCGGTCAAGGGCATGTACGTTGGCTGCAGGCACAGGATGTGCAGGAGGCGGATGGTCGATGCTTCTCTCTCATCGACGTTTCTGGCTCTTTGTCTCTCTCCCTTCCTCTCTGTAAAAAATCAATAAAATATATTTAAAAAAAAATTAAGAACACAGACAATGAGGTGATGAGGGTTGGGTGTGTGTGGGGGCACAGGAATGGGCTAGAAGAGGTTAATGGGGTGGGGGAGGACCTATGTAATGCTTTCAACAATAAAGATTTTTAAAAAAGTTAAGAAGTTGGAGGACCCTCTGTTGGAAGTGACAAATGAATCTAACTACTAAACATGTGTGCAATACTTTACAGTAGGGAGTGGGAATGCAGATTTGGAAACCAGTAGAGTCTGTAAGACTGAAGGCAAAAGAAACTACATAAGGACTGTCTTCTAAGATGATAAAGTTGTTTCCCACAGGGTAACAGGTTAATGATTTGGATACCACTATAAATGTGTCCTGGAAATGATCGATCAAGTGAGGGGAGTATGGATAGTAGGTGCCAGGTTTCTCACTCTTGGAGCGGGAGTTTACAGATAAGCGGGGGGTGGAGGCCAGGATGATTCATGTGCTAATAAATTAGAGTTGTAGACATC